AAAATTGCAACTATTCACGCAGATACCATGGTAACCACTGTTTCAATTTCTCCAGTTTCTCCTCTATTTTAAGTCTTCCTTTTTGTACAGTTCTTATTTATGTAGTGTCATTGTCATTGTCGTAGGTTTTGAGTGTCGCACAGTTGCGGCCCTGAATTTTCTTATAAGAATTTGCTCAATGATAGGTTTTATACTCACAACAGCAGGTGTTAAATTTGGCAGATGTAAAATGGTCCAGTAATATTATATTTTTCCTGGTCTTTTGGGATCTTTGATTCAGTTCTGTAGTGTTGATGAATGAATACCACCCAGCCGGACCTAGAAATGCAAAGGATGTTGCTCTTTTCATTCTTTCCATTATCTCTAATGGACAGACTTGGTAAAATCGACTCAGCGCGATTTTAAGATGTTTGCCTGTCGATAGATTTCACTTTTTCGAAGTTTTTTTGTTTGTTTGTTTTCTTGAATCAGCAATATATTTTTAGTGGTATGAAAAATGCTAAAATCCTTAAAAGCAACAACATTGTTTAAGGCTAAACTAGTGTCAGTAGTTTTCAAAAAGTAATATATAAGGTTTTAGTATAAAGTAAAATTAAAATATCGTTTTTTTTAGACTATTTCATATGGTAACAGCACCCTTTTCGTGTCACCACGAACAATATTTGATCAAACTTCGGCGACAGTGTACCTCGATATAAGAGTGCTTCAATGTCAAGACGAAGCTGTTTATACAGTACGTATAACAAGTGACTTGGGACAGATTCAAAGACAAACAGAGTTACATGTTTTACGTGAGTCTGATTATTTTTGTTACTCATATTTTAACTTTGTTTATGACTTATACTTGTTATCCATTTGATGGCGTTCAGAATAAATACTTTCAGGTCATACAGGCATGTGCGCACACTGCCTAGAAAGTAACACCATCCACTTTACTTTAGTTGCCTCAATATGTTTTCATATTAATGTACTAATATTATCTTCATATATAACCAATGTAGGCAGATTTCTCAAATGTTTCTTACACTGTCATTCCGTCTGAGCTATTACCTAGGAGTGACGTATTTCTACATCCAAGGAAAAATATCTCAGATCGCCATATACCGTACCTTAATTGCTGATGAGAAACTACGACCTTCCATCATCATAGTTGATTTGACTGCATTTTCTTTATACGATTAAAAGCAAGTATGCTCATCTGGTAGTTACACACAGCTATCCTTTGATCGTAATTCGATACTGCTTTAAGTAAATCACGGATTTAAATAACAGGGATCGGACACTCCCAGTTAACCCTATATAAATGCTTAAATATCTTGTCGTGCACCCGATAAAGGTACATCGATCGATAATTTACCGGCGCTAAGCGTAAATGCCCGTTCGCAACGGATACCTACTTTACAAAATACCATATAGCTTTCCCATTTATTATCCGATTTTGGAAATTTAAATTTTATTTTAAAGAAAAATACTTGTTTAATTCAAATATCTAATTTATTTTGTAAAGGTACAGTTTATCTGTCCGCAACGACGATTAAAAAATTAAGGTGATTCTGCTTTGTCGGCCATGTTTGTTTTCACAAAGTCTGTCCAAAGTGAAAGTAGGTCAAAATTCATATAACAACAAAGATTACAATGTAAAATGATGAAACACTTGAAAGTACACTTCCAGTTCTGCAAAAAATAGCTTTTGTAGTCACTAAAACAGACTTTAAAAAGGATTTTGCCATTCATGAAATGTGCATAAAACTTTGCAACAGAATGTTTTTGGTCTTCAGAAATGTAGCACATTCAAGGTAAATTTTCTTATTGTTATCATTTTTATTTTTGTTTAAAATAGTCTTTAAAAAAGTAAAAGGGAAATGTACTTGAAAAGGCTCATCCCCATAAACAAATTGAGCTTTTGTTGTTTTTTGAATTTTGGCCTATTTCACTTTGGACAGACTTGTAAACAAAACATTGGGTGGGGAAAGCGGAATCACCTAAATTGAGAAATCCGCGGTAAATTTACATTTTTATAAAAAGCAGGTATTTGAAATTTATTATTATGGTAATAAAATAAATTCAATTTCAAAATAAAGAAGAAGCCGATGACCAAATTGCAATATTTAAAATTCATTGGGTTATGTACGCACAATTGTTTTACGGATAATGTATTGCGGGCTTTACTATTCGCTCAACACGTGAAGAAAATTTATTCATTTTTTTTAGTACAAAATGTTGCCGAGATTTTAATATTGCCATATTCATAGAATATTTAAATTTCATTCATCATTTATATCAGTATTATTTTTTGTAAATCTGTTTTCAAAAGTCGGTGCAGTGAAGTAGACAATCATCGTAACAGTTTTATTAGTACTCTCGTGGTCTCGGTTCCGGCCTTTTTAATGTCACTCGTATATTTTAATTATTCTTTTTATTTGAATGCCTGTAGAAAGATATTTCTGATATTTTTTAATGTAACGCTAGAAAAACAATAAAAATATTTTACAGTTTGAGTCAGTATTATGCGAAATAAAAGTAACTTTTGATTATTTTTTTACACATCGCTTAAATTTCTTTGAAGTTTAATTACTTTTGAAGGGGTTCAATTACCAGGTAACAAGTGATAATTGAAAAACTTTATTTTCAAACTTTCATTTATTACCAGGTTACATGTGATAATTGCAACAGTCAATCTTTAAAAACAAATAGAATTTGAACGTATATTTTGTATGTGCGCGGTCTTTAACTACAGTCCATGGTATGTGTGATCAGAAAATGATTCTGAAGAGGATATACAATGTATATAAATACAATGTAAATCTATTTTCTTTATTAACATTTATAAATGAAATAGAAAATATACAATTAAATTTGTATAGCCCTTTTTTGAAATATAATGGAAATAAACATATGACAAATAAATCATTTGACGTGAATTGTAAAGGATAACTATGAGGAAAAAAATCTGCTTCAAAACATTTTTTTTTATATAAAACAGCTGTTCTGTATGCCAATAAAAGTTTCTTCCTTGCTTGTCTAGAATGATCTGAAAATATATTTTATACACTAATTAGTAGAATATTTACTATATTTATACTAATATACAGGTAATCAAATAAAAAATGTACAAATCATTTGGAAATAATTTACAGAAATAGAGACAAATTTCAAACATGAATTTCTTTAAAAGTTTTTCAGCAATCAAGAAACATTTTTTTGCAATGCACCCATTAAACCATCTAAAAAAGAATTATCTTAATCTGAATCGCGGTAATTATTTGTGCTTGAAGTAAACGGGCGTCAAAGTGTAGAGAGTATGCCTAAACAATAGGCGAATATTTTTTAAATTAGGTACTTTTTTAACTAAGCGTTGCATCGTTATATCGGAATATTTTCATATATTAATACTTTCGCTGCACAAAATAATACTGTATCAATACATTCATATGTGTATAATTTTTCACAAAGCTGCAATAACACCATATACTCTTGTGAAAATCTGTCATATTTCGCACTCCGCGCGTTCCGCCATCTCTCATTCTGTCCACCTTTATCCTATATGCGATTCCGCGCATGCGCGCGACGAGACTTTAAGCTAAACGAAAGTGTCCGATCCTTGTAATATAAATCTGTGAGTAAATGTACGTAATTTAAAAGATTTTTTATCATAATAGTATACTTTACAGGTGAACCAACTGCAAAAATAGTTACACCCAAGTACCTGTTTTCGGACGAAACTTTAGATAATATCAAGTGTGAAGCAGATATCGGCTATCCATACGGTGAAATTGTTATGAGAGTCTCCTATGATGAAGGAACAAATTTTGAGAATTATTTCGTTCCTAGAGAAATGATGGACGTGCAAATAGCCGAGCCTTGCAAGGAAATTGTGTCCGTCAACTTTACTGGTATGTGCCCAAGATGTTTTTAATTAAATCAGTTATTGGATTTTATCATTGAACCAGCATGCCTTTACACATTGCAAGCATCACTTTCAATCCACGTAAATTACCAAAAATAAAGGAGGTCAAAAATACACATATAGCTCTTACTACGTTAGTCACGCAGAAGCAATATGGTGATCGATAAATACTGCAAAATCAGTCATCAATCGCACATGACATGTTAATTATTACTTGAATCTTATTTTTTTACCTTTCTTATAATATGAGAACATTTTACTCAAGTTTCGATTTTCTTGAAATATTTTAGGCTCATCTGTGGGCATGCAGCTTTAAGATACATTTGCATATGTACTCATATAATACAAGAACACGTTAAACAATACAAAGGGGTTTGAGATAATTATACTGTATACGCAACACTCTTTTTGCCTGTAATCTCTCTACACGACTGTTTGAGATTTGTAATAAAATATTACCTGCGAACATCTTTATCGAGGCTTAACATAGTACTTTAATTAAAAGTTCTTCACATGTATACTTACCTTAATAAAAAATTATTTCGTTCAAGTGTTTGATGAAATTAAAATTTCAGTAACAATGTATTGCTCGTAGAACTTTCAGCGCACGCGCGCACAATGCTGGATTATATTAAATAATTAACAGTGATAATAATAAAAGTATTTGAGAACCAATAAAGCAGTAATACCAAGTTTCCAACTGTCAATTTCTACTTTATCTTTTTTTTTGTATTTGACTGTCATCAAATTTTGTTTATTTGTTTGATTGCAAAACAAAATAGTGTTTAAAGAAACTCTCAATTATCAAGGCTTGTTTAAATGTTATGTCTCTTTAAAGCTAAACATTATATATTTTGCCTTACATGTAGGATTCTTCGACCGAGGTCTAGAGAAAAACTTGACGCGTATACAATGTGGCGTATATGACAGCAACGCTATACGCTCGGAAGATGGTTATATAATGTCTCCTGAAAAACCTGTGAGGATTGTACCAGGTAAGACTTATTAGATCTACTAAATGATTCCAAGACGATAGTAGGTTTTCATGCTCTCCGCAGTCGTTCATTTTAATAGAAATTAAATTGGAGAAGTGTGTTTGAAACGTATACAGTGATGAAATAGAAAAATATACGTGGCTGCTTGGTAATAGATTACTTTCCTACCATAAATCTTGGAGTTGCTTATTCACACTGTTCGAAAAGTTTTGCATTCAGAAGAACCAAATTTGTTACCTTTGGAAAAAGGAAAATCATCCAAAAATTGAAGAAAAAAATCTTTGATTATACGGTCATTTTTAATTCTAGATAATGTTTTACTATAAAGCTGGAAGGCAATTTCTCCCTCTTTTGAAGCAAAAAAGAATTTGGGTGGAAAGGTACAAATTTGAAGTTCGGATAAAGAAATGCACTGTTATTGTATCTCGTCAGTGATTAATCAAACATACATCATATACTAAAAAGATTATTTACTGCTTTTTATATGAACCAATATTACATTAATTGATTATATTAACTGTCAATAACTATGAACATTTACCACAATTAATTTGATAGCGGACGCCTAAGCGGTAATTGTGAATAGTTAAAGGTCAAATGTTAACATTACTTAAATAATATGTTTTAATCAAGCATTCCCGATACACGTGACTGCCCGAGTACTAATTATCAATTAAACCATACACTAGTGTTTGTAAATATAGAACTAACAAGTGTTTATTTACATGAAAATTTTAACAGACTTTATAACTATAAAATTTCACAAAACAATATTTTTCTCTAAGTTTCCTGTAATGGAAATAAAAAGTACAATAACAAACTGGCTAAATACAGAAAAACCAAAGTTTTTTCTATGTAACCGTGAAAACCCTTTCATAAAATTTGGTTCCCCAAACTTCTTTTTCAGATTTTAATTTTTTTGAAACATTTTTCAGATACAATTTTTCTTTTTTAATCTAGGGGGTTATTACACTTAAATAAGATGTGCCACAAAGTTAATGAATTATTACGAAAAAGGTCACTTTTACATCACTTTTATTTGTTTCAGCCAACATTTGTGAGGCGAAAGGTTCACAATTGATTCACAACCCTTATGAACCATGTGGGTACATAGAGTGTTCTCAACGAAAACTTAACACATGTCCTGTTTCGACATGTTTTGATCAAGAACTTTTAAAGTGTAAATGAGATTTGTATGGTTTTTTTTTGGTGTTGCATAAACAAAAATGTCAATAAATATATTTATTTTAAACCCACACACTTTCAATTTTGTATAACCTGGGTTTCTGTTACATATCAGTAACCCAAGTTTAACCTTTGAATTAGTTTGGATTTTACGACAGGCAGCAAACGAGAATTTTGCGATTTTTTTCTTCCAGTAAATAATGATAATTATAATGTATTTGTGTTATACATAATGACATACACCTGTGTATCAATGTCGTCAATAAACGAAATAAACAGCATTGTTAAATAGATCTAAAGTTTGATCAATTTCAACTACATATTTCGCACTGTTTTAATTACATGTAATGCATTGTTTCCTCCAAGCAAATAATTGAATTGTAAAATTTAATTTTTAAAGTCTTTTTTTTTTGGCAACAATCGACAAAACAAATCAGTTTTGTTCTTATGATAAAAAGCTCAAATACGGCGGCTGACGTTTTGCCAAACACGAAAAAGCAAAATTAAGTTGGTCGTGTTTTCGCGCTGATGAATATAAAAGGGGGGATTTTTGGAGGTCTAAACTAAAAAAATGTAAATGCATGCACTTTCATGACGTTCAGCTGTCGGTCTGTGTGACCCTGGACCGAGTCGTATCATGCTGTAAAAGGTCTCGTTGGCAGCTGTGAACATCTAGCTGAAAGCAGGTACCAGTAGCTCTGTCGTCGAGCTCGACTCCGGGAAACTGATAAGTTTTTGGAGATCTGGCTAGAAACCACTTTAATACTATGTACTAACTCTGACGGTCTGTTTGACCTTCATCTGATATGCTTCATGTCGTGAAAACACAATTTGGAAAGCAGTATGGGTCTAGTTTAAGCTGACATCAGTGATTCTTTATCCGGGTAACAGTGACGAAAAAATGTGCCATTTTTTGGAGGCATACAAGAAGTTTGACGGTTAGCGTGACCCTGAATCGAATTGTAACATGCATAGAAAGGTTTCGTTAAAAGTCTCATTGGTTAAAGCTAGTGATGTTCCGATTGTCGCAAGTCGTCGATAATCAGTTACTGTTCTGTAAAGCGACAATAATCAATTCACAAAAATTTGTTCTGCGACATCGTCAAAAATGTTTAAAGTATCAAAGGGAATTAATTCTGACGTTAATTTTCTTTTAGGAACACATCGCCGATCGCAAAAAATTATCTCAGAGACTATTTGGAGTTGATTAGGATCAATACGTGATGTAAACAATAGATATATAATGTGATGTGAATTTTATTATTTGACATCCATTGGAAAATTAAATCTATTTCTTAAAATTATAACTATATAGGGTTTAAACTGTGAAATGAAAATTTCTTCCCTATTTCTTTTTAACGCGACTTTAATTGAAAAGTTATCGATTATGTCCCATCCAATTGAACCGATGATCGATTGGGACAAATTTCATCTGATTTCCATCACTAGTTAAAGCTGATTCAAGTAGCTCTTTCTTAGAGTTCGGTCAACTGTTACGATAAAAACCAGTCCGTCAGACTGGATTGAATAATTGAAAGTGCACCCGAGCCAGAGCCACACAGTACCGAGACCTGTCTTGTTTGACACGCCAGTAGAACTTATTTTCAGCTCCGGGAATCAGCGATGAAAACAAGTTCTGTCTGCCTCATGTACATGCTGGTTTTTAATATTTACGTAAAACAATCGACAAAATAAATTACGGGTTTGTACGACATTCTATGATAATGTAGAAGGTATACTCTGGAAAGCTTTCCCAGGCACTGAACAAGCTCTCTCTCATCTTTAGTACTATAATTCCTTCCATACTTTACAAGTTACTAGCCCGATAAGCAATATGAAATGACTAAGAAATGAACACTTAACTTCCTCCAACTGATCTTTATAAATGTATGGCATTTCAATGGCATATCTGGTTAAAAGCTACACTCGGTTATAAATTAAGATAATTATAAATAATTAAGAAATTAAGTACAGTAGGATTGTTGTTTTTTCCTCTCACGGGTCTCTATCACACTGTTTGGAGTTTAAAACAAATTCAGACAAGGCAGCGACTACAATGTAAATGCTTTCTCTTTGGAGAAAAATAAAAATTGAACGGTATCATGCTGCTAATATGCAAACCCCTTTGCCCTTTGTTGTGAAGCTTCCTGGGCCAAATTCTAATACCGACAGTCAAAGCAACACCGATATGCATCCAAGATGAGGAAAATTTTAAAAGTTACAAATAGATTAACATTCATACTTTAAAAAGGTCTAATATATGTTGGTGCATTGCCTACCTTATTATACATGCATTTGTGAACAAGGTGAAATAAAAGAAACAATTAACTTTCAAGTTTTTACTTCAACATTTTATTTCTTTAAATTCAGTCATCAACATTGCTTTAAATTTCATACATGCAAAATACATTTTATACATGCAGCTGAATATTGTTTACCTTAAAGGAACTCCACTGAGGTTGATAAGCCTTGAAAATCTTACAAAGATTAAGTGGAGCACTTAAAATGGAACAAGAGCCATGTCAACATGGCCATCCCCCGCCGAATGTGTTTGCTCATTGGAAGAATGTATATGTAGTAGAGCGGAATAATTCCATTTTAAGAGGTCTTTTGGTAATGAAAACTGATGGCTATAGTGATTACAGATTTGAAACCTATGTGAATACTGATGGCTGAAAATAACAAAGGGCAATTACTGAAAAATAATGCAGGGTAGGTTATCATTCTTGTGTGCTGCATCCCTCCTCAGTAAAATCTATCCACCTATGAAGTTTCAAGTTGATACCTCAAATACTTTTTGAGAAAAAAATTGAATTGAAAAATTAAGTATGAAAAAGAACAAAGGGCAATAACTCAAAAATTATAAAAGGTTAAGAGTTATCATTCTTGTGCAGTGCACACCTCCTGAGTGAGATCTATGCACCTATGAAGTTTCATTTTGATATCTCAAAGGCTTTTTGAGTTATGCTCTGGACAAAAATTAATTTTGAAAAATAACAAAGGGCAATAACTCAAAAATAATGCAGGGTAGAGTTATCATTCTTAAGCACTGCACTCCTCCTCAATGAGATCCAATCCACCTTTGAAGTTTCAAGTTGATACCTTAAATACTTTTAGATAAGCTCCTGGACAAAATAGCATAAAAAAAACAAAGGGCAATAACTCAAAAATTGTATAGGGAAGAGTTATCATTCTTGCGCACAACATTCCTTCTCAATAAGATCTATCCACCTATGACATTTCATGTTGATATCTCAAACACTTTTTGAGTTATGCTCCACTCAGGTGAAAAATTAGGTATGAAAAATAACAAAGGGCAATAACTCAAAAATTATGAATTGAAAGGTAGAGTTATCATTCTTGTGCACTGCACACCTCCTGAGTGAGATCTATGCACCTATGAAGTTTCATGTTAATATCTCATAGGCTTTTGGAGTTATGCTCTGGACAAAAATCAATTTTGAAAAATAACAAAGGGCAATAACTCAAAAATCATGCAAGGTAGAGTTATCATTCTTGTGCACTGCACTCCTCCTCAATGAGGTCTATCCACCTATGAAGTTTCAAGTTGATAACTCAAATACTTTTAGAGATATGCTACGGACAAAAATGTCGGACGGACTGACGGAAGGTCGGACGGACGGACGGACGGAGACTATTTCTATATCCTCCGCCGAAATTTTTCGGCGGGGGATAATAATCTGCAAATGATGATTAAGAAATACTTAAAAAATCGATGTTTGTCTGATTCTTAACTGGATATAAGTGAAAAGTGTTGCAATGCTTTTCAATTTTGGGTCAATTTGCACAATAAAAATAATTATTCTTGAAACAGATAGTTGGGAGAATGACATGAAAATCTTCACACCAGTTATTGATCAAAAGGTACATGAAGTGGTACACAAATCTCAGAAAAATATTTAAAGTCCCATATGTTGAAAAAAAACAAACTCAGTGGAGTCCCTTTCATAACTCAGACATTTCCAACTTTATTTTCATTACTATAGTATTGCACAAAATAACGTTATTATTTTTTTTTGTTAAACTTTGTCAAAGAAGCATTTTTAGGTACAGTTTTACTAGTTTCAGGTTTTATTTTTTGGTGGAGTATTTCATCACACCAACCATGTATTTATATATAAATTAAGATCCATGCACCAACAAAGGCCATATGGTGACTAAAAAGCTTTACTTCTGAAGACACCAGGTGCCTTCATGCATGATTTCAGACAGAAACAGAATTCACCTGAGTAGAACCACTGATTTTCTGTAAGTTGCGGATAGAAACCTACATAAAAAGATCCAAAGCCCCCTAGGGTTTTTCCCCACGTTAAAAAGGGGCAAGGGGGTTTGAAGTCACATCCTTAACCCACTGGGCCAGGGACTAAGAGATTTTTATGTGTAGAAAAAAATCCTTGTGCAAGAAGATAAGCTTTTGACATAGTGATAAAAAAAATCTGAACTATCCAATAACCAAAATCTTGAAAAAGTCATATACATAAATCTGAAGACACCCCCACTAACTAACTGACTGTTTAAAAATCGAACAGTTCATGAAGACATGAAAAAGGGGAAAATTTCAAAAACCCTGTTTTCAAAAAAATGAAAATGAAAGAAAAAAATTTTTTTTTACTAAATTATAAATATATTAACTGGGACACATAGAAAGGGCACTTGTAATAAATTTTTTTTTTATATATAAGATTTTTAATTTTGGCCCATGTTTTTAAAAAAAAAGATCAAAATCAGGATAAATGAGCAATTTCGATTTCTAGCATTTGAAACTACTTTTTCTTTATGCCAACATACAAACTTTAGAATATACTCAAAATATAATAACTGCAAATTAGCAGTGACATAAGCAATGAAACTACAGTAACGTATTTTGAGTTGAAATTCGGGAGTAACGCACACAAATTGTTTAAAAAGTTGTTTGTTAACATTAAACAACTATTAATAACAAACTTTTTTGTCACATTCTATGTTAAAAGGGGGAATAACCCCCCCCCCCCCCCCTTTCAGATTAATGTCCATTGTCATGAATAAGCAAGTATTTCAAGTGTCATGTTTTGATACCTTTTATAACATTGAAATGATTCAACATAAATGATAATTTTACAAAAGGGACTTAACTCCTATAATAAAGCTATCAAAATAATGGACCTTTCCAGTGTTTACAGTTTTATGTAAATTGGCTAACTTGTTATCCAATTGCTTCACTGAGATAATACATAGTCACTGGTTGACCTGGTTTGAACAAAAGAACACATTGTTATGTTTGTGATACTGTTTGTGAGCAGTTGACCTAGCAATGAATGGAAAAGGTGTGGCTGAATGTTCCGCTACAAAAAAACGGAAAGGTCCATACACATTGACATATAACAGCACCTTGTCATGAATTCCAAGTTTTCTGTTAATATCTTTTAAAAATGTTCCATTAATTAGCTACATATTAAATTATTTGCAAGATAACATCGTCAATGAAGACTACCACAATGGCACAGTGAACATGATTGATATGTTTTTTTTCTAAACCTCGCTATAAATTAAAATTAATTAGTTAAAATTAATGATCAACAAAAAGGTCATGATCAATATTTTAAAGAGCTCTTAGAAGCACATAGCCATTTAATCAAATGACATTTCTAAAATTTCTCTATCTTATGTCATTTTAAGTAACAATAAATGTAACAACAAATATAATTCCTATAAGAATAAATTGCAGATTTTGATCTTACTCTTGAATTTCTATATCTTTGAGAACAAGGGGTCTTAAGTTGATAAATGGTAAGATATGACATATATTACATCTGTAACATTTTAAATAATGTATCATAGATTGTCAGGTGCCCTTAATTCGTCCCTGTCCTAGAGTCAACACACTAACTGTGTATGTCAGATAGTCTCAACAAATGTTTGTTAAGAAGGAAAAGATTAGGATATTTTTTAAATATAATGCAAAGTAAATCTAATGCATGATATCTGCCAAATTTCTTCAACATAGAATGTTTGGATCATAAGAAAATAAAGTGTATTAAACAATAGGCTGTAAAAGACTTAGGGTAACAAATTATGGCCACCAGTGGATAATACATTCATATATACATGAAGTTGTTTCGTATGTCTGTTGCTGTAACTTCCTGTTGCTGTAACTTCCTGATGCTGTATGTAACTATAGTTACTATTCATATCTCTATAATTTATTTTACAAATAATTTAAAAAACTTGACACTGCTACGAGTTCAATTAATTTACGAAGTAACCTCAATCCTTTTGGCTTTCAAAACCAAAGACAAAGACCTTAACACACAATTGTCTGTAATTTCAGTACCTTCTTATATCTATCTGAATATCACAGAATTGTTTGAAGCACTATATTATCAACCTAAATCCCCATTATCTCTCAGCTGATTTCTAAGTCTTCAAGTTCTGATATCAAAGATTCCTCAGTCTTTAGCTTTTCCAACTAAAAATTGTAAAATAAAGTTATGTAACAATGTATTTCAATGATGATGAAATGTGAAGGTAAATTTCTTAATGCTAATGCTAAATTCAATTTTATTTTCAATTGCTTTTTAACAAACAAAATTAAAGATCCTGTATGTCGTGATCAAAGTGGTAATAAACCACACTAAGTGAAATTATATTACATGTACATAATTATGCAAATAAAACAATTTTCAAACATCAAAGAATATGTAAAATATGTTCTTAAAAATATGTATTTATAAATCTTAATTTGAACATCATATTCATAATTTAAAACCATGAAAAAATGTGTTACAAGATCTTTAAGCAATGTGACCAAAAAGCATTAACTAGTTAACTTGGTTGGTTGGTTTTAACACACTTTTTATAATGATTTACAACTAATCCCACTGAATCAGCAATGAGATAATTAATAATTAATATATTAACATGACCATAAGACACAATGTCCTAGATAATAAGATTAACTAGACCTATCACTGAAGGTGATTAATACCCCCACCTGCAACTTTGACTTTTTGAAAAAAAGTAATCAGAAGATATATATAACACAAACTATCAACTGTGTACAAAGAAATATTTCAATTATTTGTAATCGCAACTGTGGTCTTGAAATAAGCTTGCTATACACCAAGGTTGATTAAGATATCTCATTCCTAACTCTAGTTATTGTCCGGAAACCATTTTTCTATTTTCAGTAACACTGTAACGGTGACCTTGACCCTAGGGGTCCAAATGCAATACCAACCCAGGTCTTCATATAAGCTTCCTATACACCAAATTAGATTACAATATCTCATTCCTAACTCTACTTATTGTCCGAAAACCATTTTTCTATTTTTCTTAACGGTGACCTTGACCCAAGGGGGCCTAAATGCAATACCAACCTAGGTCTTCATATAAGCTTGCTATACGCCAAGTTTGATAATAATAACTCATTCCTAACTCTTGTTATTGTCTAGAAACCCTTTTTCTATTTTTAGTAACACTGTAACGGTGACCTTGACCCTAGGGGTCCAAATGCAATACCAACCAAGGTCTTCATATAACCTTCCTATACACCAAATTAGATTACAATATCTCATTCCTAACTCTACTTATTGTCTGGAAACCATTTTTCTATTTTTTGTAATGGTGACCTTGACCCAAGGGCGCCCAAATGTCTGGAAACCATTTTTCTATTCTTAGAAACACTGTAACGGTGACTTGACCCTAGGGGGTCCAAATGCAATACCAACCCAGGTCTTCATAAAAGCTTCCTTTACACCAAATTAGATTACAATATCTCATTTCTAACTCTAGTTATTGTCCGAAAACCATTTTTCTATTTTTCATAACGGTGACCTTGACCCCAGGGGGCTGGAATGCAATACCAACCCAGGTCTTCATATAAGCTTGCTATACGCCAAGTTTGATAACAATATCTCATTCCTAACTCTAGTTATTGTCCTGAAACCATTTTTCTATTTTTAGTAATGGTGACCTTGACCTTGACCCCAGGGGGCCAAAATGCAATACCAACCCAGGTCTTCATATAAGCTTGCTATACGCCAAGTTTGATAACGATATCTCATTCCTAACTCTAGTTATTGTCCGGAAACCATTTTTCTATTTTTAGTAACGGTGACCTTGACCCTAGAGGGTCCAAATGCAATACCAACCGTTTCCACATAAGGTTGCTTTATACCAAGTTTGATAACAATACCTCATTCCAAACTCTAGTTATCGTCCGGAAACCATGATGTGGACCGACCGACGGACGGACGGACCGACCAACAAGCTGACTCCTATATACCCCCCCTAAACTTCGTTTGTGGGGGTATAATCATCACAGAAAATATTTGCTTGCCCAAAGATAGAATCAGATACCCCCTTGTGCCTGAAATCATACATGGATGCACACCCAGGCCTTCTTCCACTGGTAAAGCATAACATCCAGTAATACATGTTTAGATTCAGGGAACTGAAGCTCTCCTTATATTAGGACTAAATTACATGATGTTTCTTTACTTAAAACATGCATGTCAAACCACAAAAATTGTATGGTATACATGTATGTGTTGGCTACAGGTATTGTATTACCTAGCTTTATGCAATAAACTACTGATATAAATTGAATACAACATCATAGTAAACAAACCTGATTTTTTTCAAGCTGTTTTCCTGCTTTCATCTGTTCTTTCAATTTTTCAATTTGCTGCAGTTTCTACAATATAAATGTTGAAATTCATGTTATTTTGCTAATTTATTGTTTTTAAAGCCATGATTTATTATAATGCTAGTACGGAAATATGCATTATTCAACTGCAGGAATAGTGTTGAAATTAGGGGTCATAACTGTGCTTTATACACAATTTATCTAAGATTTTAAACCTTGCGTTCAAAACCAGGTTTCTAAAGAATTCAAACTTTTTATCTCTTTTGCTTGTATTTACATATTAACCCAGAAGCAGAAGTTTTCTTTTTGCAATTTACAACTTGGAACCCAAATACAATTTCCAGTAAAATGTCATTGATTATTATAGTACACATGCATATCATTGGACAAATCCATCAGCATACATTGTGCTAAAAAGAATCACTCAAAACTCTAGGCAAATATGATAATAATAAATATTTGTGTGAATCAAAACCTGTCAAGTCTTTCACTGCAGATTAATAAGAGAAACCCTATTACAAGGCAAACATGACTTACTTTACGGAGATTTCTGATTTTCTTGTCTTTTTCAGGGTCCCCAGTAGATGGTTGAGGAACACTAGGTGCACTACTTGCTCCTGCTGCTGCCTGATTGGCTGATTCATTCTCATCATTCTATATTATATAACATAAGGAAATATATATTGACTTAAAGTGACATAATGCTCATTTCTGCATTGGCAAGTTGAGCTGAATTAACTATATATTTCAAAAGACTGACTGTTATATATAGTGAATGACCATCAGATGATATGGGAAAATGTTTAGGATGAAACAAAAATCTACATTAAATATAAAAAGACTGTCCCACTCTTTTTATAATTTGAAAGTTACAGGTAATTTCCGATGGATATTTATAGAAATTTCCTTGGGGCCATGTGTTATTTGTCATTCAAGCCAAGTAAGTTAAATTGAAAGGAATAATGGCAAATTTGTAAACTTATTTTGACTATCACTCACTTTATACCCCTGGATGGGCATAATGTCACTTTAATATCCATTGTACATTTGTATAGCCCTTGCTCATTTCATATTCGTTCACATTCTTTTTTATTAAACTGATTTTAATATTTTGTTCATAACTTGGCAGTAACTTGATTTCCTGGATATATAATCTTCTCTACAAATGTACAACAAATCCCCTATAATTTCTGTATCAGCAGTAACAGTTAAAACTGCGGGAAATAGTATCTTGGCATGGCAGAAAAATTTGGTATTCATTTAATGAGCCATTAATGCAAATATTTGTAACCAGTGCTTTCTTTTCCTTCCAGTATCTCACCAACAAATTGCAGAGTTATTTTGTAGACATAGACAATATTTTAACAATGACATGCTATCTAAATAAAGTTCAAACAGTGGCAGTTTTTCAGAAACAACAACTCTAGATATACTATGCTCCAATTTGATATTTGAAAATATTGTAAATTGCTATGCAGTATCTTTGAATGTATAAAATAAACAGGGTTTGTCTTCATATGAACTAGATATAGTATGTTTCAAACTCTATACCCTATAGGTTGACACATTATGAATACATAGTGTCATTGTGTCATTAAAAAAACTGGCAGTTTTTTTTTTAAGAAAAGACCAACGTTACTTGACCAGTAATAAGGAACACAGCTTCCCATACATAGTTTATTCATTCTTTTATTCATATTTCACATTTTCAATAAGAATTCCATAGACTTTGATAAGTTTCGGTGATTAAAAAATTTAACTCACAGATGAGCATAGTACATCTTTAAATTTCATTGATCTATAGAACCTGTCTCATAAAATTATCAAATTTTTTAGAACATTTACAACAATAAACATATGGCCATCATTTATAATTACATGTATTATAAACATACCTCTGCTTGTCTGGCTTTTCGAGCTTCTTTCTTCTTTTTATTTTTGCTTGCTGGTTTGTTTGCATCTAAATAAATACAGTTAAAGGTTTGATACTATTAGTTCTCTGACTTTTGCAATGTCTTTAATCTAATACTGAAAATGTTAGGCCTTATCTTAAAGTGTTACTCGAAAGTAGTTTAGGTAGAACGATGAATAATCAAAATATACAAGTAACACAACTTTGCTAGAATTTCATATGTTGACTTCTTCTAAAAACGTACATGTAATAAAAAGCATTGCAATGCATTTATATCATTCAGTTATTGTAAGATGCCATTTTCTTCATCAGTCATAAATCTAACTATTGGAAACTGTAAACAAAAGTACTTTTGTCTGTATAAGAACTGTATTATAAACATATATGTTTGACATTCATTTTCTCATCTTATCAACATTCATAATTATGTTATTGTTACATGTTGTAGAAATGCTGTATATTGGCCAGAAGCCTTAGTACTAATAAACTTTTTAAACTTGAATAACGAATGAAAAAATAATAATCAGAAAATAAATATCATTTACAACTTAATATCACAAATTTCAAGGGTGGTACTTCAAATAGCCAATCAATAAATCAAGAACCGGTTGAACCGGGTGATGCTCCCAAAGGAGGTTCTGGACACAGGAAAGTATAAAAAAATGAACAAAGGGCAAAAACTCCAAAATTAGGCAAAGCGGAGTTATGTTTTTTTTGCACTGCACTTCTATTCAATGAGATCTATCTATCTATTAAGTTTCCTGATGACATCATAGTTATGTCCCGAGTAAAATTCAAAGTGTAAAAATGAACAAAGGGCAATAACTCCAAAATTAGACCAGGCTTTGTCTAAGTTCTTTAAGCATTGCAGTTCTATCCAATTATATCTAGCTACCTACAAAGTTTCATGTTGATATCCCTAATAGTTTTAAAGTTATGTCCCAGACAAAAGTCAAAAAGTAAAAATAAACAAAGGGCAATTACTTCAAAATAAGGCAAGGCAGAGTAATGATTCTTAAGCACTGCACTTCCACCCAATGTGACCTATCTATCTACAAAGTTTCATGTTGATATCTCTTATAATTTTAGAGTAATATCCCGGACAAAGTTCAAAGTGTCAAAATGAACAAAGGGCAATAACTCCAAAAGTAGGCAAGACAGTGTTACAGTTCTTGTGCACTGCAAACTTACTCAATGAGATCTATCTACCTACAAAGTTTCATGTTGATATCTCTTATACATTTAGAGTTATGTCCCGAACAAAGTTCAAAGTGTAAAAATAAACAAAGTTGGATAATTAAAAAATTAGGCAAGGCAGAGTTTAGGTTCTTGTTCACTGCACACCCACTCAATGAGATCTATCTACCTAAACAGTTTCATGTTGATACCTCTTATAGTTTTAGAGTTATGTCCTGGACAAAGTTCAAAGTGTAAAATAAACAAAGGGGGATAATTCAAAAATTAGGCAAGGCAGAGTTACGGTTCTTGTGCACTGCACACCTACTCAATGAGATCTATCTACCTACAAAGTTTCATGTTGATACCTCTTATAGTTTTAGAGTTATGTCCCGGACAAATTTCAAAGTGTAAAATAAACAAAGGGGGATAATTCAAAAATTAGGCAAGGCAGAGTTACGGTTCTTGTGCACTGCACACCTACTCAATGAGATCTATCTACCTACAAAGTTTCATGTTGATACCTCTTATACTTTTAGAGTTATGTTCCGGACAAAGTTCAAAGTGTAAAATAAACAAAGGGGGATAATTCAAAAATTAGGCAAGGCAGAGTTACGGTTCTTGTGCACTGCACACCTACTCAATGAGATCTATCTACCTACAAAGTTTCATGTTGATACCTCTTGTTGTTTCAAAGTTATGTCCCGGACAAGAAAAGGGGACAGACGGACGGAAAGACGGACGGCCGTCCGACCTAAATGGAATAAGGGGCCATTTCTTTTGTTATTTTCTATTGTTTAATAGAGGGCCAATGGCCCCTTACTTTATTGTTACGGAATGAACTCTATTGTTCTTTTTTGTTCTGTTTACAGTTAGATGGCCCCCCTATCCCTTTTCTGTAGTGTGGACAGACGGACGGACGGACAAGGCGGCGACTATATGCTCCCCCGAAATTTTTTGGGGAGCATAAAAATACTATTTTAATCTTCTTAACAAAACTTTTACTAGTAGTTTTCATGATTGACATTTTTTTTTTTTGTAAACAATAAATAGAAAGAAAATAATACCTGCTTGAGATTGTTTGACATTAGAGGGAAGCTCATATTCGTGCAGTTTAGTGGAGGGTTTATTCTGTTGACCTCTTAATGAAGGCGGAACATATGCCTGCTTTGCAGCTGTAATAGATAAGACATCATTGATCACTTATTCTGCTTATTAAAGTACAAGAGGGCCATGATGGCCCTAGATTGCTCACCTGACTTATCAAACTCGTCCAAACAATTACCTAGACAAGCATTCTGACCAAGTCTCATGACAGGTGAGTCAAAAATGTGACCACTACAGTATTAACAAGGATTATCCAAATTTGAGCAGTGCGACCTAGTTTTTTACCCAGGTGACACATATTCAAACTAGATCTAGAAATCATCAAAACAAACTTTCAGACCAATTTCCAGGATACTTGGATCAAAACAGTAGCAACTAGAGTGTTAACAAGATTTTTCTATTTTTAGCTCCGGTGACCTAGTTTCACATACCATTTCGAACTCATCCAAGCAATTACCTAGACAATCATCCTGACCAAGTTTGATGATAATTGAGTCGAAAATGTGACCACTAGAATGTTAACAAGGTTTTTCCATATTTGGGCGGTGTGACCTAGTTTTTCATCCAAGATGACCCATGTTCGATCTTGACTTAGAAATCATCAAAACAAACTTTCAGACCAATTAACAGAATATTTGGATCACAACAGTAGCCACTAGAGTGTTAACAAGATTTTTCTATTTTTAGCTCCCGTGACCTAGTTTTTCATCCGAGATGTCCCATGTTCGATTTATTTCCAGCAATGACCTAGACAAGTTTCCTGACCAAGTTTAATGACAATTGTCTCAAAATTGTGACCACTAGAGTGTTAACAAGGTTTTTCTATTTTTAGCTCTGGTGACCTACTTTTTCATCCGAGATGACCCATGTTCGAACTCATCCAAACTATCACCTAGACAAGCATCTTGATCAAGTTTGATGATGATTGATGCAAAAATGTGACCGCTAGAGTGTTAACAAGGTTTTTCTATTTTTAGCTCCGGTGACCTACTTTTTCATCCAAGATGACCCATGTTCAAACTCATCTGAGCTATCACCTAGACAAACATCTTGACAAAGTTTGATAATGACTGATGCAAAAATGTGACCACTAGAGTGTTAACAAGGTTTTTCTATTTTTAGCTTCGGTGACCTACTTTTTCATCCGAGATGACCCATGTTCAAACTCATCCGAGCTATCACCTAGACAAGCATCTTGACCAAGTTTGATGATGATTGATGAAAAAATGTGACCGCTAGAATGTTAACAATGTTTTTCTATTTTTTGCTCCGCTGACCTACTTTTTCATCCAAGATGAGCCATGTTCGAACTCATCCAAGCTATCAACTAGATAAGCATCCTGACCAAGTTTGATGATGATTGATGCAAAAATGTGACCGCTAGAGTGTTAACAAGGTTTTTCTATTTATAGCTCTTGTGACCTACTTTTTCATCCGAGATGACCCATATTCGAACTCATCCGAGCTATTATCTAAACAAGCATCCGATGATTGGGTCAAAAATGTGACCACTACAGTGTTCACAAGGTTTTTCTATTTTTAGCTCCTGTGACCTAGTTTTTCATCAGAGATGACCCATGTTCGAACCCATCCAAGCAATTGACTAGACAAGCAATCTGACCAAGTTTGATGAAGATTGGTTCAAAAATGTGACCACTAGAGTGTTCACAAGGTTTTTCTATTTTTAGCTCCGGTGACCTACTTTTTCATCCCAGATGACCCATGTTCGAACTCATCCGAGCTATCACCTAGACAAACATCCTGACCAAGTTTGATGATGATTGGGTCAAAAATGTGACCTCTAGAGTGTTCACAAGGTTTTTCAATTTTTAGCTCTTGTGACCTAGTTTTTCATCCAAGATGAGCCATGTTCGAACTCATCCGAGCTTTCAACTAGATAAGCATCCTGACCAAGTTTGACGATGATTGGGTCAAAAATGTGACCTCTAGAGTGTTCACAAGGTTTTTCTTTTTTTAGCTCTTGTGACCTAGTTTTTCATCCAAGATGAGCCATGTTCAAACTCATCCGAGCTTTCAACTAGATAAGCATCCTGACCAAGTTTGATGATGATTGAGGCAAAAATGCGACCGCTAGTTTGATGATGATTGAGGCAAAAATGCGACCGCTAGTGTGTCCACAAGCAATTGTGGACGTACGACGGACGGATGGACGACGGACATATACCGATCCTAAAAGCTCACCCTGAGCAAGCTCAGGTGAGCTAATAAGAAAAACACATAATAACAACTCAAATATTCCTCATGTTTTAAAATTTTAAAGCTGCATGCCTACAGATGGAGCCAAAATATTTCAAGAAAATGTAAAGAAAAGTACAAAGATTCAACTTTCTAGTAATAATTTACAAGTTATGTGTGATTAATTGACTGATTTTGTAGTATTTATCACCATATTTCTACTGCATGACTAATACAATAAGGGCTATTTTTGCATATTTTTGTCCTCTTTTGTCATTTTTATCACTTTTTTGTCCACTTCAAAGTTATTAACTTTTTGATTTATTTTCAAAATTTTCATGGAAATTATCATGAATCTGGAAACATATCGAAACTCTATGTCCTCACTGAAAATGAATACTCTTTAGAAAGGAGACTCTGCATTAGGCATCTAATACCTTAATTACAAAATACTGTTTAAATGGTGACTTTTGACCAAAAAATCAACAGGAGTTATTTACTAGTCACAACAAACACCAACACCAAATCTGAGGAAAGTAGATCAAAGCATTCCTAATTATTGGCCATACAAAGGCCTTTTTGATCTTCTTATCCTAAAATCAATAGGAGTTATCTACTGACCTTGGAACAAGGTCCCTACCAAGACACATAAAGGTGGCTGATTTCTTTTTAAATTATTGACTGAACAAGGATGACTGATATACATTCATATATACAGGCTGATCAAATTACAGTTTAGTTCCACTCTTTAAGTATGGGCATAAAAATTGACCCATCAACATTTACTGAGCCTAGTCAGACTGTATGAATGTGCAGGCTGGCCTGGCTCTGTACTGATGGCAAAGTGTAATCACATTCTGTTTCAGCAGATTATGTGTTAAAGTTAAGTGGTAATCTGCTAACCACATGACATGTTTACAACTTCTGCCCAATACCTTCTTTAGAAACATAAGTGTTATAATGCATTTGGAAAAATTCACCACAACAGTAGTACATGTACCTGTGGTAGCTGGAGCCTGTACTTCTGATTCCACCTGCCTATAGCTGATTGACTTCTCTGGGAACATGTTGTCAGGGGCAGGTTGCCAGAATGCCTCCCATAATTCTTCTCCCTTGTCAACCAACTTCTGTTCTAATACTGCACCAGTGTAATGCCATATTCTGTATCTGTTAATACAAAGAGCATTTCAAAACATGCTGAGGTGCCAATATTCGATTTTTGTTTTAACATGTCAGTTTAAAAACTATTCATTATAAGCTTGATTGTGAAAGAAAGCTTGAGGCAAATCTGAGTCACTAGTGGGTCAAAGTCCTGTAATAATAACCAGTACTGGTGTTATTTGAGGAAAACATGGCTATGACCTGTATTACAACGTAGCAGGGCCTATATCTTTTAAACAGTAAATTGTAGGTAACAGCAAACTTAAACTTGGCCAATCACGCTGCAAAATAAGTTTGACACAATATTATCCATACTTTTTGACAGGATTACCAAAAATGGGGAGTCTAAATTTAAACTTGAAGATGTCATGTTCGTTTAACAGGAACTCCTTTTGATTGGTGACAATGAAACTTACCCATTGCCTACACGTAACCTAGGTGAGGTTGTAGCTGTGATGATATGTTCTCCGTTGGCACACCATTGAAAACTTGTTGTGTCTGGGGACTGTGTTTGACAGATCAGCTTCTTCTGTTTAACATCCCAGAATTCCATGTTGCCATGGAGATTTCCAAAACCACACAAACACAAAAGTAATGCTAGTTAAGGATATTCAACACATGCATAGTTACATACTTTTAAAACAAGGAGATTTAACAAAAAATCAAATGGCAATTTTGATAATCAAGTTTTTGACATTTACTCTGCTAAATATCTTAAATGGACTTGTCCATCTTTAAATCTGGACTAGACCATTCACAATTCTTAGAGAAAATTTCAGAACAGGTAATGACTGATTTTAGGGAAAATTTTTAAACAGGTAGTGACTGAATAGTGAACAGATGTGCCAGCTTTTTTTTGTTTGCTATGGACATCTTCAGTTGCAGCCAGAAAGGTAATGATTAACAGTTTACACCAATTCAATTATTTTACTTTCAAGTCAATTTCGTGAACTTCTCTCTGCAACATGTATGTACCTTATCACGGGACCAAGTTCTGTGGACGGACAAAAACTGATGGACGGAGGGTAAACATAAAACTTTTTCCGGATAACCGGATAGGGGACTAATAAGCAGTGTATATCCTACAGCAACTGGGCTTATTAGATAATGTTTGACATACTGGCTCTACATATATTGGAAATGTATAAGATGTAATATCTTTTATCACAACCAGGGTCACTATTACAACTACCCTTCAACAGATCCTACTCATAGAATCTCAAAACACATGCAAAGGTGTATGTTATGCTTTAACTGTAGTGTATGTAGCATAGATCTTTTAGACATTTTGCTTGTTTTACCCTATTTTCTAATGGTTTATATCTAAATATAGCATATTGAAGTCAATAAATTTAGATTTAAGTTTTTATCTTATGATATCTCTAGTTTCTATGTCATCTGTTCACTAATGAAATAGCAAAGAAGGATATTATTTCCCTGAGGGTTGTAGAAACTAAAGTTACGAGGTCCAGTTCCAAAATCAAACACAGCTTCTGTCTTCAAGTTGTAAATTGTCGCCTTTGCTGGCATAACTTAACAAAATCTTAGTCAAGGAAATTAAGTCAGTATATTCGTGTATGCCATTTACAATAATATAACACAACAACAACAAAATAAGTGTATAAAGCATGTACAAAATCATTGCTAAATGGATAAAAGCCTACTTTAAATAGCAGAATATTCTATTCCTGAAAATTTTATTCTGTTTATGTTAAATAACAGAGACAATATAATTTTTCTGTTGACAAATTTTATAAAATTATTTCATAAAATATTGTTTTATACCCTTTAAGCTTAAAGAATATTGAAAATTACTAATACTGTTTTAAGTGTCTTATAATAAAGGATACATCCATATACAACACAGAATTCTGTTGACTTGGGACTCCATTCTACATGATAAACAGGCCCATTTTTACCTAAATGTACCAAATTACTTTCCCCATTCACTCCTAGATAATGAAGACCCTGATCGCCATAGTAAGAAGATTCTGACGTATCCGTTGTCGTTAGCAACAAGAGAGCTGTCCCCGCTTTATTCCACATCATCTCCACTTTATCTGCCTTGAAGAAAGTTCTGTTAGCCACTGCAGCATTCGGTCCACCAAAATTTGGGTACTTGTATACTCGGACAAATGATGGTTGACCCTGTGTCATAAAAATAAAACAATTTTGACCTGTGGCATAGAAATATATACTTACAATTCTACATATAAATTTGAACTTTATAAGTATACATCTTGTCTGTGATAAGTAAAATCTTTGTTATTATCTTGATAAATTTCATACCAAAGTATATCAATTGAAAGAAAAATGTTTGTAAATTTTCCAAAAAAAAATGGTGATAAAATGCATGAAATATTTAAAGTAAGTTAATTCTGCTTTTTTTTCTAAATAATTCATGTTTATCAAATAACATGGACATTTTTGGAAAATTCATAAATATTAATATTTTTGATTAGATCAAAAACACAGGAATTTGTAAAAAAAATTATCTTTCAAAAGAGTGAAAATAAAAGTCTTGTTATTTTTGTTGCTATGGCTTGCTAAGGCCTAGTTCTTAAATCAACTGTTTTGCATACAATTTAGTTAATATACAACCCAGATAAAAACATATCTTAAACAAATATGTCATTATCAATGAAAAATAAAATAATATAAATTCATTTAAAACTTGAACTTCCCAACAGAATATAGCAAGTTAGAATAAACTAACCTTTCCACCTGGCACATAGCCAGATACCATGTATGGAGGCCCTGCCGAGGCTAAACTATACCCAGCTACCTTCTGTAGATGTAATTTTGTCTTAATTTCATCTGAAAATAAACATTATTTACATCTTTACTGCAATATATTTGGCATGTCACTATTTGCAAAATATCACATTATAAAACATACATGTATCTTTATCACAAAAAGCAGAAAATGTTAAATTTATGTCATCAATGACACATGTAAATACTGTCATGTTTATATCTATGTCAAAAGAGATCATTGCCAATCAGAATTGATCACATGCAGATGACCTTGGAAGATATCATATCATATTTTAATCACGACGGAGAATAATGTGTGAAAGTACAGAATAAAGTTATCAGTTATTTACCAAAGTTTTTATCCTCGAAAAAGTGTAGCTCATTGTTGACATTTCTACAGCAAATCTTCTCGTCATTAGAAAACTGGGGAGCCCTACATGAATCAATGATATATACAAATACATTTGTAAATAATGTCTTCATCAAATAAGCTAAATTAATGAAAATTAATATATTTCTCTCTTAATATAGCTAAAACACATGTATAATAGCGTTACGCATACAAAATCTTCACAGGCTATATTTTCCAATCTACCCCATCAGAAGCATGCATAACTTATATTTTTTATTATATCACAGTTATAAAATTATATCATACAAAATTGTCAACACATGTTTTTTTCTTTCTTTCTTTGCAAATGAAATATATTCGGCACCCCTCATCCTTTGGTTTAAACATACTTATTATTATACTTAATTGCAAAACAAGTTCTTGCAACTTATATTTATCACTTTCTAGTCAGCTTCCTGGAACCAACCAGAACTAGTGTCATATGAAGAAACATGGTCGTAACCAAAGTACGGCTTGAACCCATTATCCCTGGGTTGAGAGGCAGAAACCTTAACCACTAGACCACTGCTCCCCTCATCCTTTAACTTCAAATCTTGCCCAATCAGACTGAATCAGCCAATTAGCAATTATTCTTTAATCAATTCCTTAACTAAAGCAAGACAATAAGTTGAATAATTGTAAACAACAATTCTATATAGAATATGAGATGGGTTGTCACACTAATTTACCAGTAGCTGAATTTTTTCTGTATCAAACTTTTCACACATTTTCCTGTAGCCACATTGTAGATATGAAGATTAGGAACTCCAGCTTGTGTTTCCTTGTCAACTGCAAGACATTACATATTTCATAAATATCAATTCACTATATCAAAACTATGATACATGTAAATAATGTATTTGCTGATATTTATTTTTGGTTGGGCTTTAACATATACTAACACTATCTTTACTGGTAAAGGCAGACTTTAGGTACAACACTGTGCATTATTTATCTCATGAAAAGAGAGTCATGATAATCATGGAATCACTTTATGTTTTCAGTTATTTTGTTTACAAATGCTTCCACACAAAATGAATCTTTGTTAATTTAAAATTTATACTTTAGAAGAGGCGTACAATGTATGTTGAATATCACAAAATGAAAATTAAGATATGCATTAATTCCAGTTTTCTTTGATTAATTACTTATATCATTGAAGCATTCATAACATTAATCAGATCTTGGTAAAAACAATTGATACCTTTTTGTTTACATTATACTATTACTACAGAAAAACATCAAATTGTAAATGTACAAAGGTCAGTTAATTAACAATTGTAACAGTGAAAAGTTTACCCGAGTATGGTTCCCAGATGGTAAGTAATGAGCCTTGTGGAGAGAATGCCATACATGATGCCTTTGGTCTCGGTAACTCTTGTATCACTTCATTCTTCTGGGTATCAAAAATCTTCACACTAAAAAACCAAGTGACATACATTGTAACATATAAAACAGTGATTTGGTTAAAGGGTATAGATCTATCTCTTATGAAATATTTTTATAAAATTTATCAACAGTGAAATTATACTGGTTCCATTATTATATGGTTGGTTCCCAAAAAACGTAGAATGTCTCCATTATTTAACACACATGAATATTGTATACAAACAGAATAAAATGCTCCGGAACAAAATATTATTCGCTAATTTAAGTAGGGTTTTATCCGTTCAGCAATGATTTTTGTGCACATGCCATTCTCTCTTAAAGCGATTAACTACCTAATGTTAGCGTTACACTACAGGCGCGTCATTGAAAAATTACTTATCTTAACAGTTTACTGTTCTTATTTTATATATGTGATAAATAGAATATTATATTCGTGTAGATTCAATACTAAATTTATTGAACTTGTTGAATAAAACAATATTATAATTGCCAGAGGCTCGAATACTATGATTTTATTCAACCCGTTCAATAAATTTAGTTATTAAACTACACTCATTCAATATCCTCTATATGTGAAAAATTACAAAGATGAAGCATGTGCCTCATCTAATTCAATGCATAAAATAAATTACCTTCACCTTAGTGCAGTAACTGCTTAACTCCTAATTAATTTAGAAGGAAATAAACCGGTTACTACACAAAGGTGACAACATACTATGAAATCTCAACTTGGCTATTTGAACTATCATATGAATAACAGAAATAATGATGAAACAATTCAAAGTGGTAAACCCTGAAACTCATATTTTAAACAAAAGAATGGTATTTAATCAAACTGTAAATAAATATCAAGTAAATGATGGTACAATTTAAAGCAAAAAAGGTATTCTCTAGTTACTTTTTTTTTTTTTTAATCTCTCTGAAGTGCAACTTTAAATGCTGTCACATGTTGAGTGTTTGTACTATCTCCGTGTTGTACTTTTTGTAATATTTGCAACATAATTAATCTTTAAATACAGTTCAATCCAATACAACAAATGTATAAAATTTTCTTCATATAACAAATAGATCACATAATGGACAGCATCAAATCTATAAATCATGAAAATAAGTTAAATTAATGTCTTACCAGTCACCATTGCTCCAGGCAAATAGTGAACCATCTTTACTGAACACCATAACCTTACATTTTCCACTTGGTTCCCTGAAATAATTAAAATAATGTTCTGTTCATACAAAAATGTTGTGTCCTGTTTATAAATGTCCTTTGCATGATTTTGCTATGAAATGTGTCCATTATGTAACAACAGCTTAGTGTTAAACATGGCCACCTACTTTTACATATGTTTTGGGTGAATTTTCATAATTCATAGACATTTAAATAATTAATCAAAATTATCAATTTTTTGACATGTTTATCAGAAAAATATCAACGATACATAGATGTTGTCTCTATCGATGACAGCTCTACTTTCTAGACCCTTCCATCAGCATTATGTTTATAACAACTTGATGTTAACTACATAATGTATAAAGCGCTGCAGATTAAGTCTTTTCTTTTTTTTATCAATATTAATATTCAAATTCATTTAATTTTGAATGTACCATTCCAATTTCAAAAACAGGGCAAATCCATTGCACAAACCCAGCAGACTAGCTTAGGGTGTAAGTATTGAAGGCTTACTTCGTGAATGGTGCATCAGATCCATGTTTTGGTGGTCCATTGATCATCCATATACCTGATGAACCTCTCACTGTAATATTACAAATGATATTTATGAATGATTATCTCTATAGATACAAATTTTTACTTTCAAATATTTACAGTGACTTTTTTCATATTTTGGGGAAGGTTGGTGTGCGCCCAAAATGGTGACAAAAAATCATCTGTCATATTCACTTAAATTCTAAAAAAAAAAATTAAAACCAGAAAAACCTGCACATATCCATCTAGTTCTTTCCTAAGTTTAAATCACTACAATATTCTTCAGCAGACTCAGGCTTATGACATAAACTAGAAGATTGTTTCCATAGGACAAGGGTGCCCGGCACACTCCACTGTTTTGTCAATTTTATGACTCTAGGTCAAATATTTTTTGGGCTACATGTGGACTAAATCCACATGCAAAATCCCAGGTTCATAGCTTCACAGTGATGTTCATCATTATTCCTGTAAAGTGAGTTGATTCTAACTCAAGCACTCAAGGAACAAATAACAACATAATGAAACAGCTTTTACTAAGTCAAGGGCAATATCTCTACAAATATACTGGATAAATCCCCAAGCGAAACCCAAGGTGCACAACTACACATGCTCACCAACATTTCTGTTCAGTTTCATGACTCTTGGTTAAATACTTTTGAGCTATGCATGATACAAATTAAAAACTGCAATTTTTCACTAAGTCAAGGGCAATAACTCTGACAAAACATATAAAGTCCCAAGCATCCCAGGTGCACTACTTCACATGCTGTCAGCTGATCAACATTCCTGTAGTTTCATGACCCTATGCCAAATACTTTTTGAGCTACGTGTGACACAAGTTGAAAATTGCAAATTTTTACTTAGTCAAGGGCAATTACTCTACAAATTGCCAAATTCTAAATAAATTGTCACTAAAATACCCAGGTGCACAACTTCACATGCTAATCAACATTAGCTGGACAAGTTAAGAATTTCATATTGTAACATATGAACTCTAAAGTATTTTGTTTCCTGAAAATATGAAGAAGCGAAATAATGAATATAAAAGGCATCTCAAATATTTTTATTTGTATCATATATAATGCTTTTAAAAACAAAACGAGTTAAAGACTGAAACATTACTTTTTCTATAATTATGATTTTACGGGGAAGTCAATGACCGGGCCCGCGAAGCGGGTCCGGGCTTTGGCTTGCCCGGCTATAGACTACACGTGTATATTTAAAAGAAAATCAAATAAAAAAAACAATTAAAAAATATATAGAATTCTATACCTATCAATGAAATTTTCAGTGTCAGTTCTAGTCGGGCGCCGCCATTTACAATGTAACTCAATGATAAAAGGCGGGGTATTCCGATAACGGAACAAATCTCAACTTTTCGGATAAATAATAAACGTTGAGTGTTCCGAGTGAAAACGGAAGCGGTGCATGTTATATAGTCCTATAAATATGACGTCGCTTTGAGATATTTTTGCTTCTGGGCAAAGCAACGTCATATCGAAATTGCTCAAAAACCCATAGCATGTTCCGCCAGAAAATCGGGCGGAACGAAAAACAATGAAGACAGCGTTTATTTACATAATTTTTGACCTATTTATGAACAAAACTAAAAAATAAATACCTTTTGTCAAAATAATTAAACTGTCACATCCGAAAAATCATGATTAAATCCTCTCATGTAGAGGTCTATTTCAATTCCTTTTACAGCCGATAAACAAATGGCGGCCGTAAAGTGCGCGAAATCTGATTGGCTAATTCAAATGCAAGCATTTAACTGAGTCAGAGCAATCTAACGGAATATTTTTTTAACGAAATAATTGCCCATGCACCGTCAGTGTGTTCGAATATATTTTTCCGTTCAAAAATTTGGAATCAATCTGTAAAGCACATTGCTTAACCAGTATGGCTGATAGACAAAAATAGATTGATGTTTATATTTCATTTTAAATGATAAGTACATCGTTTGAACGTTTTTGCGTATGATTGAGCATGAAATTGAAAGAAAATATGATAAGCTTTTGAATAAAGCTTGAAAGGCAAGACAATAGACATTTTTTGATTTTTTATGATGCTATGCGTTTTTGAGCAATAACTATTAGACGTCAGGCTTGACCGACAAAAACTATAACAAGCCTGTAACGTCTAATATATTGGACTACATGTAATACTGAATGACAATTTTAAAACGGAAAGAATGAAATAAATTTTTTAACGACTTCCCCGTTCATAGGCTTTGCCTAATTTCATATTAATACGGGCAAGTCAAAGTCAGGGCCCGCAAAGCGGGCCCGGGATTTGGCTTGCCCGGCTATAGACTACACATGCATATCTATCTATCTTCCATATAGTCAAACCCCTGCTGGGGACCTAGACTTGACGCGCGTCAACTGACAAGAATGTTAGTAAAAGAGTTGAAATAAAAGAATATAAAAGTAAAGGAAATGAGTATATTGTTAAAAACAGGTTAAAAACAGAAAAGGTATTTTTAAGGAGACGTATGTTCAATCCGGCTTACAGCCAGACTGAACTTGGGGCCAGACAAGTTTATGATTTCAGGTGGTAAAGCATTCCAGTGGACAATTATTCTTGGGAAAAATGAATATTTATAGTAATCAGTTTTAGTTTGGACTTGTTGGAATGCATGGAGATGGGATGTTCTAGATGATCTTGTAAGAGGGACGATATACTTTGGGAAAGGAATAGCCACCTGGTCCTGCAGGATGTTGTGAAACATGACCAGGCGTTGGTCAATACGCCGAAGGTCAAGGCGCCTCCATTGAAGGGAAGTCAACATGTCAGTGACACTTGACATACGGCCAAAGTCATGTTTGACCCACCTAGCAGCCCTTCTTTGGACTGACTCTATCTGGTCAATGAGAGTTCCTGTGTAGGGGACCAGACCGTGGAGCTGTACTCAAGCTGGGGTCTGACAAGTGTCTTGTATGCTGTTTGACTTTAACCTTTCTGAGTGAACTTGATGTTTCGGCGTAGAAAACCAAGTGTTTGATTCGCCTTTGTTGTGATGTTGTTTATGTGTTTGTTCCATGTTAAATCATTTGATATTGTAATGCCAAGGTATTTTGCAGATGGAACTGTTTCTACTGTGGTGTTATGTAGGAGGTATTTTTGTTGGAATGACTGTTTTTCGTTTTGTGATTTGGATAACTGGCATTTTGATGGATTAAATTGCATGTCCCATTTTGTTTCCCATTGTTCAAGTTGGTGTAAGTCATGTTGAAGTAAGCTAGAATGAGAAGCGACAGTCAGAGATAGATAGATGGCTGTGTCATCAGCAAATAGGCGGACCTTAGAGGATTGGACATATTCAGGAAGGTCATTTATGTATATAAGAAATAAGAGAGGTCCGAGGACCGAGCCCTGGGAACACCGGAGGAGACTGGTATGGAGCTGGATGTGGAGCCATTTACCACCACGGACTGTGACCTGTTATCAAGAAAACCTTTGATCCATTTAAGAGTCTGACCCCTTATACCGTAGAAATGCAGCTTATACAGGAGTTTTTTCATGGTTGACCATATCAAAGGCTTAGAGAAGTCAAGAAGGATTAAGTCTACTTGGCTTCTCTGATTTACTGACTGTAGAATATCATCTATAAGCATTAATAACTGGGATTGACATGACCTTTTTTCTCGGAAACCATGCTGCAATTCATAGAACAAGTTTGATCTAGTAAAGTGCTTTGTTATACTGGAGGAGACAATGTGTTCCAGGGTTTTACACAAGATACAGGTAAGAGAGATAGGGCGATAGTTGGCTGGGTCTGACTTGCTACCTTTTTTAAAGACAGGGGCGACATTTGCCATTTTCCAGATGTCTGGTAGAGTGCTGGACTGCAGTGATTTCTGGAAAAGTTTGGACACTATAGGGGCTAATTCTTTACTGGTATTTTTGAGCACTATGGGTCTAATTTGATCAGGTCCATATTATCATAAGCAAGACAAAGAAAGACCAGGGCTGTGTTTTCTTTGGTAAGTATAAAATTTTGAGGAACTTCTCATAATTTCCCTTCTTTAAACAAGGCACTTTTTCCCCAAAAATATAAGGGGAAAGACCTTAATTTATTTTTTATAGCAATAATTTGTTGACAATAATTTTCAGTTTTAGAGACGGCCGGGTACGAACATACAAGGGGACGAAACAATTTCAAATATTGAAAAACATGAACACCATCTCGCAATGTACGAGTAAACATTATCTTTTAGATCTTTTAAGCCTTTAACTGAAAACAATTCAACCAGAGTTGTCAAACTCGATTGAAAGTTGTCAAAAAGAAAAATTCTCACGTGCAATGGGCAGCGCCATTTTGTGTAAGCACTGGTGCGTGGCTGTATTAATACGCGAATATAAATATATGAATTTGAAGATAACGACATAAATTAAATATCTATTTCGTGATATTTATAACTTCATGTCAGTTTTTAGGAATCAATATAGTTTCTTTCTCTTGTTTTGTGTTTATAAAATTTAAAGTTTCACGCGTAGTCATTTCCGGTGAGGCTAATAACTGCTTCCGCTACTTTCACTACGTGGAAAGATTTGACAGAAATCAGTTGGGAAAGAGCAATATTGCTTGATTAAATCTTATTTCTTTTAAGATTTGATAAAAAAATACTAGCTTAATCATGCCTGCCAAACAAAGAATGAGACTTCAGAGTGAAAAGCACAGTAGAAACATCTTAACCAGAGGAAATGTACCAAAATCATTGGTTTGTATACAATACTCAAATTCAAAAGTTTGTAATATTCATAACCTAAAGTTTAATTAATTGTATGAAGGTTCTTCTTTTTCTTTGACGTGTACACTGTACACATGTGCACTGTTTAAATATTTTACTGTTATTTTATTTGCTTTAAAATCGGTCCTACTAAACACTGCTAAGGACCGCTAAGGACTGCTAAGGACTGCTAAGGACCGCTAAGGACTGCTAAGGAGCCACAAAGGACTACTAAAGAGGCACAAAGGACCTCCTAGGCCATTCTTATATTACATGGTATTATTTTTAGTGAAAAAAAAATATAATTTTAAGAAAAAATATGATTTTGGTGAAAATTTTATGAGTTGTCGGACCGCTAAGGACTGCTCAGATACAAAAAAGACTGCTAGGGAGACACAAAGGACCTTAAAATACCTCCTAGGGCATTCTTATAATACAAGGTAGTATGTTTAGTGACAAAAAAATGTATTATTTTAAGAAAAAATATCATTTTAGTGATAAAATTCATGTTTTTGAAGAGTTGTCGGACCGCTAAGGACTGCTCAGGTGCACTAACAACTGCTAGGGAGGCACAAAGGACCTTCAAATCCCTCCTAGAACATTCTTATAATATATAGTAGTAAGTTAATAGACAAAAAAGTATTATTGTAAGAAAAAAAATATGATTTTGGTGATAGAATTTATGCTTTTGATGAGTTGCCGGACCGCTAAGGACTGCTCAGGTGCGAAAAGGACTGCTAGGGACCTAAAATATTTCCTAAGGAGGCACAAAGGACCTTAAAATACCTGTAAGGGCATTCTTATAATACATGGTAGTATGTTTAGTGATAAAAAATGTGTAATTTTAAGGAAAAATATCACTATAGTGAAAAAATTCATGTTTTTGAAGAGTTGTGGGACCGCTAAGACTGCTCAGGTGCACTAACAACTGCTAGGGAGGCACAAAGGACCTTCAAATCCCTCCTAGAACATTCTTATAATATATGGTAGTAAGTTAATAGACAAAAATGTATTATTGTAAGAAAAAAATATAATTTTGGTGATAGAATTTATGTTTTTGATGAGTTGCAGGACCGCTTAGGACTGCTAGGGAAGTACAAAGAATCTTAAAATACCTCCTAGGGGCACAAAGGACTGCTAGGGAGGCACAAAGGACATTTAAATACCTCCTAGGGCATTCTTATAATATATGGTAGTATGTTTAGTAAGAAAAAAAAGTATAATTTAAAAAAAAAATATAATTTTGGTGATAGAATTTATGCTTTCAATGAGTTGCCGGACCGCTAAGGACTGCTCAGGTGCACTAACAACTGCTAGGGAGGCACAAAGGACCTTAAATTACTTCCTAGGGCATTTTTATATTATATTGTAGTAAGTTAATAGATAAAAAAATGTATTATTTTAAGAAAAAATATAATTTTGGTGATAGAATTTATGTTTTCGATGAATTGGAGGACCGCTAATGACTGCTAGGGAGGTACAAAGAATCTTAAAATACCTCCTAGGGGCACAAAGGACTGCTAGGGAGACACAAAGGACATTTTAAATATCTCCTAGGGCACTATTATAATATATGGTAGTATGTTTAGTGCGAAAAAATGTATAATTTTAAGAAAAAATATAATTTTTGTGATAGAATTTATGTTTTCGATGAGTTGCCAGACCGCTAAGGACTGCTCAGGTACACCAAAGACTATAAGCGAGGTCCAAAGGACCTTAAAATCACTCCTAGGGCATTCTTATAATATATGGTAATATGCTTAGTGACAAAAAATGTATTATTTTAAGAAAAAAATATAATTTTCTTGATAGATTTTATGTTTTTGATGAGTGCTGGACTGCTAAGGAGAGCTCAGGTGCGCAAAGGACTGCTAGGGAGGCACAAAGGACCTTAAATTACTTCCTAGGGCATTTTTATATTATATTGTAGTAAGTTAATAGATAAAAAAATGTATTATTTTAAGGAAAAATATAATTTTGGTGATAGAATTTAAGTTTTCGATGAATTGCAGGACCGCTAAGGACTGCTAGGGAGGTACAAAGAATCTTAAAATACCTCCTAGGGGCACGAAGGACTGCTAGGGAGACACAAAGGACATTTTAAATATCTCCTAGGGCATTCTTATAATATATGGTAGTATGTTTAGTGCGAAAAAATGTATAATTTTAAGAAAAAATATAATTGTGGTGATAGAATTTATGTTTTCGATGAATTGCAGGACCGCTAAGGACTGCTAGGGAGGTACAAAGAATCTTAAAATACCTCCTAGGGGCACGAAGGACTGCTAGGGAGACACAAAGGACATTTTAAATATCTCCTAGGGCATTCTTATAATATATGGTAATATGCTTAGTGACAAAAAATGTATTATTTTAAGAAAAAATATAATTTTCTTGATAGAATTTATGTTTTTGATGAGTTGCTGGACTGCTAAGGAGAGCTCAGGTGCGCAAAGGACTGCTAGGGAGGCACAAAGGACCTTAAATTACTTCCTAGGGCATTTTTATATTATATTGTAGTAAGTTAATAGATAAAAAAATGTATTATTTTAAGGAAAAATATATTTTTTGGTGATAGAATTTATGTTTTCGATGAATTGGGGGACCAGCTAATGAACTGCTAGGGAGGTACAAAGAATCTTAAAATACCTCCTAGGGGCACAAAGGACTGCTAGGGAGACACAAAGGACATTTTAAATATCTCCTAGGGCACTATTATAATATATGGTAGTATGTTTAGTGCGAAAAAATGTATAATTTTAAGAAAAAATATAATTTTTGTGATAGAATTTATGTTTTCGATGAGTTGCCAGACCGCTAAGGACTGCTCAGGTACACCAAAGACTATAAGCGAGGTCCAAAGGACCTTAAAATCACTCCTAGGGCATTCTTATAATATATGGTAATATGCTTAGTGACAAAAAATGTATTATTTTAAGAAAAAATATAATTTTCTTGATAGATTTTATGTTTTTGATGAGTTGCTGGACTGCTAAGGAGAGCTCAGGTGCGCAAAGGACTGCTAGGGAGGCACAAAGGACCTTAAATTACTTCCTAGGGCATTTTTATATTATATTGTAGTAAGTTAATAGATAAAAAAATGTATTATTTTAAGGAAAAATATAATTTTGGTGATAGAATTTAAGTTTTCGATGAATTGCAGGACCGCTAAGGACTGCTAGGGAGGTACAAAGAATCTTAAAATACCTCCTAGGGGCACGAAGGACTGCTAGGGAGACACAAAGGACATTTTAAATATCTCCTAGGGCATTCTTATAATATATGGTAATATGCTTAGTGACAAAAAATGTATTATTTTAAGAAAAAATATAATTTTCTTGATAGAATTTATGTTTTTGATGAGTTGCTGGACTGCTAAGGAGAGCTCAGGTGCGCAAAGGACTGCTAGGGAGGCACAAAGGACCTTAAATTACTTCCTAGGGCATTTTTATATTATATTGTAGTAAGTTAATAGATAAAAAAATGTATTATTTTAAGGAAAAATATAATTTTGGTGATAGAATTTATGTTTTCGATGAATTGCAGGACCGCTAAGGACTGCTAGGGAGGTACAAAGAATCTTAAAATACCTCCTAGGGGCACAAAGGACTGCTAGGGAGACACAAAGGACATTTTAAATATCTCCTAGGGCATTCTTATAATATATGGTAGTATGTTTAGTGCGAAAAAATGTATAATTTTAAGAAAAAATATAATTGTGGTGATAGAATTTATGTTTTCGATGAATTGCTGGACCGCTAAGGACTGCTCAGGTGCGCAAAGAACTGCTAGGGAGGCACAAAGGACCTTAAATTACTTCCTAGGGCATTCTTATAATATATGGTAGTATGTTTAGTGAGAAAAAATGTATAGTTTTAAGAAAAAATATAATTGTGGTGATAAAATTTATGTTTTCGATGAGTTGCTGGACCGCTAAGGAGAGCTCAGGTGCGCAAAGAACTGCTAGGGAGGCACAAAGGACATTTAAATACCTCCTAGTGCATTCTTATAATATATGGTAGTATGTTTAGTAAGAAAAAAAAGTATAATTTTAAAAAAAAATATAATTTTGGTGATAGAATTTATGCTTTCAATGAGTTGCCGGACCGCTAAGGACTGCTCAGGTGCACTAACAACTGCTAGGGAGGCACAAAGGACCTTAAATTACTTCCTAGGGCATTTTTATATTATATTGTAGTAAGTTAATAGATAAAAAAATGTATTATTTTAAGAAAAAATATAATTTTGGTGATAGAATTTATGTTTTCGATGAATTGGAGGACCGCTAATGACTGCTAGGGAGGTACAAAGAATCTTAAAATAATAATTATTAGAGTATATAGTAATTCTTTTTAATTTTGTTTAGTGATCTTTCTATTTTTATGTATTTTGGTGTTGATTATTATGTTTTGGATGAGTAACAGGACTGCATAGGATGTGAAAATTGACTAGGTCTTTAAGTAAATGCTCTTATGTTAAGTGGTAATCAAATATATAAAGAAAATCACTGTAGTGAATGAAATTATATTATGAAGGATTGAAGAAGAACAATTTTAAGTTCAATGGAAATCAGATGTAATAAATGATCAAATAAACAAAAAAAATAATTTTCTGTGTACTCAGAACTCATTTGCTTTCTTCCTCACATTT